CAGACAATAAAAATATGGTTCTCTCTGTGTCCAGATGTAAGAGTGTGTGAAATGCAGACACTTTCTTTCCACACAGGAAGTGACGCATTACAACCCAGTAAAAAAAAAAAACATCTCCTGTGCAGGACAACTGACAGTCAGAGCTCTGCCCTTGGAACTGACAGCTAATGTGAGTATTTTAAGTTTGGACAGAGGCAGTAGACAAAGAAGAATAAGCTTCTATACACGGCAAATGGTAGGTTTTGAATCACTCAGAAATATTCACTTCTGCCCATGTAGTGAAACCATACCTTATTTGAACAATAAGACATTACACCAACTTATGTTACCAAACAATGAATGCTACAGTGACAAGGGGCAACAACAAGGCTATGATTTCAATCTAGCTGCATTCCTGTGTCCCTGGGTAACAAATTCAACTTAGGATGCTCAGACAACCTCAAACACCTCCTAGTTGGTCCTCACAGGGGCATGGTAAGAGTCTGGTCACACCACATGTGCAATAATACCATTGGAGCAACCACCAAGAACGACCAAGTCCATTACATTTCCTTTAAAAGATAGCCCTGTGCGTGTTTCATCTGATAAACCATCATTTATTTCCTTATTATGCGCTAGGTTTAGTCAACCGAAAAGGCGTGAATAGATCAGTATTTGTGTGTTACTCTTCAGAAAAGGTGTCTTGCATAAGCACCATAATCACAGGTTTGTGGGTTGACACAACCATTTGATAGCCACCCTCGTGGAACACGTAAGATTGTCATTGTTTGGTCGGTGTGAACGCAGCTGGAGATGCCACAGTTTTAAAGACCCGACACACACACACACCCACACACACTCCAGAACTTTGCTGTTCATTGTTTTGTTTCCAAAACTTAAATATATTTGGATTAGATTACCCAGCTGTCCAGGTAGATTTAGGCGGTTATACCCACTTAGGCTTAACATAGAACACACAAAAAAGTGTGATATAGACTACAAAACAATGAATGATTGGTGTGACCACTCGGGGAAACAGGACGACTCCTCTCACAAACGATTTATTTTGTGTAGTCATTACTAACTGCGTTGCCCTAATGCATGGGTTTGTAAATAGTTCCAGGTTGTCATAAACCTGTCATCAACACAGGGAACACAGGAAAGAAAACACAGACACATGGTGGCTATAATGCCGTCTGTAAGGGTGCATTTCAGCAATGATTTGCCCAGTGATTCCTCGGCACGAAATCTTTGAGTTTGATTTACCTATTTAACCCTTGACTGACTGACCCTGGTCATCGTGTTTCACCTCCTGGGGTGTACTGAGTAATTTGAGTTGTTGAGGTTTTCCCACTAAAAAAGTTTCAAGGGACACAGAAATATTTCTGGTGGCATAAATCTTAGAAACCCCTGTCACATTCAGTTAGGATTGTGTTGTGTTGTACAAAACAGCCGAGGATGAAGAAGTGAACTAAGGATACAGTAAACCCTCTGACTAGATGCTGTAGCACAGTGCTGTAATTAAGTGTGTAGGACACTTTCTATATATAAATGACAATAGGCCGTTAAAGTAGGTGTTATGTCAGGGCCTTCTGGTGACTCAGTGCTACAACAAGCACACCCTTCGTGTACGCGCTACGTGTGAGTGTGAGCTCCACTGCTGCAATTGAAGGTTTCATAGAAATCTCCAAATAGGTAGAGTGGACCAAGCGCATACATCTGAAGCACACTGTTATATGTTGTTCACTGCTGTTTAAGTGTGCGTGTTACAGTGGAGCACGCACAATCAAAGTTTCCTCAACTTCACACTAAAGGAGCTGATCAATTATTTAGATGTAACTCCATACGGTATCTAGGAGCATATGTTTCCAGCGGTGAGAAGAAGCCACTTGAACACGGTTGCCTCCTTTTCATCTCAGTCGTAAAACTGTAAACTGAGTTCCCTGTTGAAGTTGGCATGATTTCGGACAGTGACCGACTGCTGCTAATCCACGCTCATTATATAAACATTACATTGCATGACATGACAGCTGCCAATAATTCTAAAAATGTGATCCTGTGACAGTTCATAGATAGATAAATAGATAGAAATATAGACAGAAAGATAGACAAGATTTATCAAATGGTCCATATTGCAACATTCGCGTGACTCAAAATGTTACATTCATGTGAGCTATGTGGCAGTCAAATGACCAGCCATTGTATGATAGCCTGGAGGATGACAGGAAATATGCAACGATGGATTTCACGCCTGAAAAGTTCAGTGGTTTTTGAGATATTAATAAATGCTATCTATATAGATTTATCTATATTGCATAGATTTCTCTATCTGAAATGCATACGTCTATACGCAATGAGGGGGCAGACTTAAAGCTGTTTGAAAAGAGGTTTATAATTCGACAAGAGCTGAAACAGGATTTCACTCTACCACGGTCATGTTTCCTGCATTTGTATTTCAGAAAAATTACACGCGGAACAAAAAAAGAAATCATCATAAAACAATAAAAACTCACTTTTTTTTCTTCCAAAGATTCTAAATATATGAACAATTAGGTATATCTCTATGGCAATACTCTTAACGTGCATGTACACCAGCACCAGAAGCTTGAAGCCTCCCTCACTATTGTCTTGATGCTAATTTTTAAAGGAACATCCAGGTGTTCCCTCAGACGCATTCTCTCAGGTGATCAGCAAACATCGTAATACACGATCTGCCTTTATAGTGATGTGAATTATATACTTGATGTCAGAGAGAACGGTGTAGTGGGTTCTGTGCATTTCATCCCACATGTGTCTAACAATACAATGAGCTCAACTTTTAATGCAAGGACAAAATGTTATGAAATAGGCCGAGAAAGAATGTTGCAAGCTCCAGCAAGCAGCTTACAAGTAGGAAGTTAGGAGAAGGCTGTGCACATGCTAGTGTGTGTGCGTGTTTGTGTAATCAGTGAAAAACGTCTGACACTGGCTATTCACCATCCGGACAGTCAAAGTGCAATTCAATAACTGTCCAAATGTATAGTGTTTAAACTCAGTCTCATCATTTTGCAGTTAAAATGCTAATGGTTCACATGACTTCAGGAGTGATCCCCACTTGTCTGGGTCAAAGACTGTGCTTGGTCAGTATTTGCTCACAGAGCCTTTTAAAAACCAATAAACTAAAATAAACACATCATGATGACACACATGTTATGGGAGAAGTGCCATCTCTGGGGTGACTATTTCAGCTATTTCACAAGCTCGGGACAGGTCCTATTTTAAATCCATGTTGCAACAGAATAAGACTCAGTACAGTAGAGAAGGTAAACTTTGCATTTGCAAATAAATGTTTTGAATTTTATCAAGCTGAATGGAAATAATTATACTGATAAAATACAGAAACACAAAGAAGGCATTAGGACAGGATGCGAGTTAAATGTTCCCCCTGTTTCTACTTTGTAATGCACTGGTGGAAACACTAAAAACTGGAGAAATTGATGGCCAAACTGCAGGATTTCTTACTTTAGTGCAAAACACATTGTTATTATTTGAAAAGTAATGTTGTTCATGTTACTTACTAGCAACAAATTTTAAAAATCAGCAAAAATATTTTACCAGCTTAAAACCGGGACCACACCTTTCTCTGAATAGTGAAATTCTGATCTTTAAAAGTCTAATTTATATTCTAGGATCTAGATATTCTAGCTAAGGATTGACAAATGCAGTGAAAAAGTCAAAAACACAACAGCAGATACATTTCATCTGGCCACCTATTTCAACCTTAAAGTGCAGCTGTGACAAATATATGCAGTGAACATGACAGTACCGCTATGGTTAGCCAGCCTGTTATTGTTGTACTAATACATAACAAGTTATATTATCTTAAAAAAAAACCTAAACCACAGCAGTGACAGGATATGGCCAACACAGACATACACTCAAAGTACTTTTTTAACCCAACTGTATTCTTAGAAAACATAAAAGATGTTTTTTAACAGGTTTCGACTCTCAGGCCTTAGATGAATCTGATAATAGACTAGACCATTTTTTGTAAAAAAAAAAATTGTGGTTTCGCGCTGATAATATGAGCGTTTTAAGAACGCCTCTATAGTTTTTGTTGTGCATCGATCATACACTGGAAATAAGTTCTGAACCATCAGGTCCACAGTGGGTCAAGTAAAAGGAACGTTTCAAAAGTAACTTCGTACATATGCAGGCCTTGGTGAAATATCCTTACACCTTTTCTTGACAGATAGTCATTACATGTTCAAGGCAAAGCATTGACAATGTTATGTGAGTGGGAAGGTTGAGACGAATGGACGTTGTGAGCCACAGCTTGGCTGCACCAATCATCTGTGGGATAAATCAGTTTGTGTACGAACAAATTAAAACGATATGTTTCCCCTGGCGACAGGAGCTGGAAACCTCAAACACCTATGGCATAGTCGAAAAGTAGGCAATTATTCTTAAATGTTACTGAACTGCATTCTGCAATTCAACATACTGTTCAGACGGCCTTTCTCCTGCTTCAATTATACACAACAATGGAGAGAATGCATGTAATTAAGCTCATTGAAGTCAGTGGATTTTCGCTGCTTCTTGAGTATCTGAAAGGACAATGAATCGTTGCACTGTATCCTATAACAGCAGGCACACAGCCACAATAACACCCTACTTCATCCCGCCGTTTGCTCACAAGCTCCAGCAAGTCAAAAATTAGCTCATGGCAGGAGAAGGGCGTGAATGTGCTTTATTTTCTGGTTTGTCTCGTCGATTTTGAAGAAACACGGGACCTGCGTTGTGTTTTTCTTTCTTCCTATGGTCTTGCGAGACAATGCTAGGCCGCCATGTAAAGCCTGGAAATGGGAGGAAAAAGGAAGAGGACAGTGTGGCCGCCCCTGCCTCACCTCCTGTGGGATACAAGGAACCGGGAGGCTGGGAAAGGGGAGGTGGGGACACTACCAGGAAGGGACAGGCGAGATGTGAGGCTAAAGGGGAAGGAGGTGAGGTGAGCTCATGTGAATTCATTTAAATGCACCTACCATAAAGTCGTTGCCGAAGTTGTCCTCTCCCCTCTCCTCGTCCCCTTCGCTCATGGCCTTCACCCTTTGGATAAACTTTCTCAGGATGCCGGCTTGGTCCATGGTTGAACAGCTCGGTTCCAACGTATCCCTCAACCTTGTCCTTATTTAAAAATAATAGTGACACCCCCAAAGTAGCAAGGGGGAGTACGTTAACGAAAAAAGAAACAAAAACAAAAAAAACAGGAGGGTAAAGGAAAAGGGAGTATAAATTAAATTAAATAAGCTTCACGGATCCCCGCGGGGAGTCATCGTCGCTTCTTCTCTTCCTCTCTTTAATTATCGCCCCATGTTGTTTCTCCCTTTGCTTCTTTCTTCTGAGCTGTTTCCACACTCAAGTCAGTCCCGGGAAAAAAAACAGCGTCGGCCCGGTACGCTGCTTCACCAACAACTCCACCACCGGGGCTTAACATAAAATGTAAACAAAAGTGTTCTTTTCATAAAGCGAAATAATGAGGAAAAAGACCAAAAAGCTCCTGCCCAGGCTGTATCTACCCCTCCCTGTCTACCTCGGTTGCCACATTCACACACTGCTGCTCGTTAATCGCTACTGTGGGGAACATCCGGACTGGGCAAAGGCGACTGAAACTAAGTCCCGCCTCTTTCAGAGTATACTTACCAATGATTGGACAGTTTACACCTGGATCTAAAATATGATTGGCCAGTGTGTGAGCAGTGCTTAACTTTAACACCAGATATGATTGGACGGAATGCGTGTCTGTTGTTTTGACGTAATTTGTCCACCGCTGTGGAATTACACAGGATATCACGTTGTCACTTGACTTATCATAGCATTAATCTATAACAAAGAAATATGATATTCAAATATATTAGGTTTTCTTTCGTAATCCTCGTCCCCTACCAGTACATTTATACATTTATTTATGTAAAATATCAATCCTCGTCCCCTACCAGTACATTTATGTTATAAATAAAATATATTTTGTGTATTAGAATATTATTTATTAATATATTATTTAGTATTTAGTAATATTATTTAAATATGCGAAATGTTGGATTACTCAATTTTAAATTGTACCAATGTGGACAATTTAGGCAAACAATAACAACAGTAATAAATAAAGTCAGAAAACAACAAAGATAGTTAAATGTAAATCAATAAGATAACTGAAAGTAAAAAGAGGCTAAATAAATATATAGCACATGAGATGTCCTACATCGCTGGAGTGAGAAGTCATTGGCATTTGCATGAATGTACACTAATTATGTAAGCACACCAGGTGGCGCTCAGCATTATTCCCATCAGTGCAGCTGGAACCAGGATGACAGCATCTCTGTATATCTGTGGATCACCATATGTAGCGACAGGAAACATAATCTGCTGAACGAAAAACTCAAAAACCGGTTTTTAATCTGAAGATGGATAGATTTAGAGATTAAGAGAGGACCAGGGTGAAGTACCAGCGAGCAACACACAGATTAATGCGTCACATACTATATAATCTGGATTAAATTATTACCAGAAATAGAAATACACATCATCCTGTTGTATTCCTAATGTAGAGGTCACAGTGGCCTGGTTTGGCACCGTGCAACAATGTGACAAAGTAGGCTGAAGAGCAGGGTGGACAACAAAACCAAGAGCATCCTGGGAAGAGTTGTTATCCATGAGTAATTTCCCCCCCAATAAACCTCAACGCAGAGAAAAGAAATTGAGTCACTTTATTTTCCTTGAGTTGGTTCTACCAGCGACAACAAACAAACCCATTTATTCAGCAAGAGTGAGTGAGAGAACACTCAGCCAACAAGTCATTCAAACACACAAACTGCTTGTTGTTGTGCTGCTGTTGTCTTTGGACTCTCACTTCGTCTTGTAATCCCTGTAAATATGTTATGTTTGTTCTTCTCTTTCATTCCAACTCTCTTTGTTTTGGTCCTGCTCTGCTGACAAACAAGAAAACAGAACAGACACTTCTTCCTTCTTGCTGCAGATGATGATCTTAAATAAACAATATCTGATAAGATCTAAGGAAAAAATAAATGCCGTCAATACGGAATGCCTAAATGATATCCATTTTTTAGGGCTAACTGTTTCTCTAAAATAATTGTCCAAAAGTGGATTGTGTAGTCTAATTTTAACAAATGAAAAACAGCAAAATAGTTATTATTTAAGTTAACAATGAATTTAAATAAAAATGTTAGTTTGCCAATATATTCAAAAATGTCAAAAAGTAGCCAAAAGTTTTGTCATCCAAGAAATAACAGCTGCTAAAAACACAAGTGAAGAAGCGGAACAAAATGGCAAAAGTCTGAACATAATGTTAAATATAGCTAGCTATGAGTAAGTATCCAAAACATAACCAAAGATAATCTCAACAGTCAGAATGACAGCTCTTTTTATTATCTTGTTTTATTATTGATATTATTGTTATTATTAGTAGTAGTAGTATTTTTATCAAGACATACAGTATATGTATTTTCTAATTCAAGTTTTTCCTGGACTATAACTTCAAATAAATATGAAGACAAGGATCAAATGCATTAATTTTATCACGTTACGCTGATCTATGTCTATTTCTTGGCATCCTTCTCTGTGCTGCCGTCCTGTCACTCCCATCACCAGCCTTGTCTCTCCTACTTTCCCTCTTGTCCTTTCTGTCTGCTTTGTCTTCTTTCTTTCTTCACAATCTTTTCCCCTTCCACTGCCGTCTTTAGGAATGTGCTGTTCAGAAGCAGCTGAGAGGAGGAATGTTGCTGTAACAAGCCCATACACAACTCTCAGTGAGGGAGGCACCCTGTCCACACACACTCACAAATACACAACACAACGCACACACATACAGTACATGCAATATTTCACATCACAACACAACAACGTGTGACTTGTTTCCTCAAAATCAGTGTTTATACATCCCCCATAGGTGTGTGTGGTCGAGGGTAGAGCATGACGCTGCATGTGAACACGGAGGGACTGTATATGGACACACACACACACACACACAATCATACTAACCCCCATACACAAACACTTGCAATCACTAAGTTACTCGCAAAAACACACACATGCATGCAAACAAACAAACACACACATATGCACGGTACTCACTGATAATCTGATAATCATTCAAGATACGACACACACATAAACCACAAACAAACAAACACACACACACATATATGTACGGTACTCACTCTTGCAAGCACACACACATACAAACTTGCAAATAACCAACAAACTCACTCACTTACTCACACACACACACCCACACAAAAACACACTTACACAAAATTACTCAACCCTGTCTCACACACACACACACACACAGAGAACAGCAGCAGCAGAGATGGAGAACGTGAAGCTGCCTGCTGCTGTCATGAAGTCGGCTAAAAAAGTCTTCCCTCGGGGCAGAGGCCTGACTCAGCAGCACGTTGCACAACCTCACCTTTATGTCTTGGAGGCCTGTCTGAAATCTCTGATTACAAAAGGCTTTAAATGTGAGCGCCAAGTATGCGGGAATTTTTGGTACAGCATGTTGCTTACCCTTTTCTGTCTGCAGGGGGCAGTCTAAACCATAAGTTTTTTTTAGCTTCAATTTCTACAGCTTAATCACTTTTAGGGCCATCGAGAGTGTGGAAGGGGGACACCTACTGACGCGGTGACCACATGTAGACCACCTGTCTGTGGCTGTACACCTCCAACAATGATGTGGAACATTCAGTTCTACCCACTGTGATGCAATAACCACAAATTTGAAAACTTGAAAAAACAAATAAAGGTTTGCTTAAAATATTTGTGGATTTTATGACAGCAAACCATTCCCAAACCACAGTCACCTGATGGACAGCACAAAATATTTAGACTTTAAATTGTCTCACAGTGTATTGAACTTATAAACTTAAAAGATCAAATCTTATCTCATTTTAGCTTAGCTTAGCGGTGAGGTATCAGATCGAGTAGTTATCAGAAATATCGGTAGTTATTTTTTAAAGAAATTGTATGAGAAACAAAATTGTTTGATTTTACGCGAGACGACGTAGTACACCAAATATTATACAATAACTCCCTCTAGTGGGCAAAAGTGTGAAGTTGCATTTTAATACTGTACGAGCTGAAGGCGGGTTTTGGAACCTTCATGCGTCCCCTCGGGATTCAGGAGAAGCGACGGCATCTATCTTGGCTTTAAAGATGTCGGTATAAAGTACACCGCTGGGGGACACAGGAAATAGTGCGAGAGACAAGGTGAGGAGAGGGAGGCAGACAACTCCAGTGATGACCAGTGAAGGAGGAGGAGAAGAAAGGTACTGATACAGACAACAGGTCCTGATTGTGGTGGACCAGCAGAGGGTCTCAGCTTGGTCCTTTAAGAGGTGGAGAAGCTGTGAGCTCAGGGGGACGGAGGACGGAGGAGGGAGGGTCTCCGTCTGTTTTTTGTTTTCATTTTTATTCTGTTAAGGCAGGAACATCTGCACAGCTTCAATTTGGATTCGTCGCTGAAGCAGCTGGAACGTTTAACCCAGCAAGAGCAAGTAGAGAAGGAAGCAAAAGACTCACGAGATGTCGGAATCAGGTTTGTAGCTGACAACTACATAGATGTTTACGATATAGATTTATAACATCGTTTTCACATTAATCGGGGACCGACTACCGTGCTATTTAATACTTTTTTGTGTTCACATTAACTTTTAATATGTGATTCCCTGAGCACTCACTATAAATGTATGTTCACATTCACACAAAAAAATAAAGTCCGCGTTAATTTTACACGATCAGCACAACAAGAATTAACGAGCTATCCGGTCATTTTAATCCTTCGGATTATTGGAGTCAATCTCCGTCATTTTGAAGGAAAAAAAGGTTCTTAAGTAAAAACATGACATACTATTTCATAATAATGAAATACTATCTTATTATTTTCACTTGAGAATATATTACGTTTTTTTCCAATTGGCCGAAATGGGCTTCCACACACATCACTTTGCAGTGTGAAGACAAACCGGGAGTAAAACTACGGTCGCTGCGAATACCGTATTAAGGACCAATGTGAACACGGCATAAGAAGATAGTTAATTAAATATGTTTGTGTATTTTTTTTTAATATACAGAACCACCCTGTTCGGAAGAAAAGTGCGATGACTGCATCGACATGCTATGTATTGTGGTAAGAAAAATGTGTTCAGATCTAGTCGCTATGAAAGGCAAAATATTCAACATTTGTGAAAATAACTTAATATCGGGATTGGAAATAGTTTAAAAGTTTTCCAAAACAAAACTTCAATTGTGGCCAGAATTAGCGTCATTTTAGGTTAGTAAATGTAGAGGTTAGAGCTCTAGATATGATTTAAATGTAGAGGTTAGAGCTCTAGATATAGATAGCATAGCATCTAGATAGCATTGTGAAAATATAATTTATCTGTCGAGTGACATTAGTTTTCTTCTCTTATTTGTTTAGATTATGGTTCCAGTTTTTATTATTTCCATACCTTTTGTGACATGTTATGTAAGTACGTCACACATTTGACAAAAACGAACAAATGACTGCATCAGTAAAAGTTCTGTCACAAAGCAACTTTTTTTTTCCTGCTTTCCAGCTTGTTTGCACATTGTTGTTGAAGCTGAAGGAATGGACGCACGACCTGAAAATGATTGACGTGATTTTTATCCCAAAAGGAGAGAAGAATAACAACGACACAAAGTTGGAGAACGACAAAGAATGCTGCCCTAAGTACTTTTCGCTTTGTTACTAACGGTGTCTAACGTCTTGCTGTTTCCCGGCAAACTTTTTGCTAATCTTTTAGTCTTTGGTTGCCAATTCGAACTACTTTGGAACAATGTCTGGGCCCACTTCTAGCTGTTATTCCTATTATTTAGCTACTTTGGCTAATTCAGGGGTGTCAAACTCATTTTCACCCGTGGCCACATTAGCAATGCAGTTCCCCTTGAAAGGGTGGTTGTAAATGGAAGACTGTATAGATCAAACGTCCCCAACCCCTGGTCTGTGGACCAGTACCAGTCCAAAGGTCATTTGGTACCAGGCCGCAGTGGGACACAGTGAAAAAATATACTTAATTTTTACTAATTTACTTAATTTAAAGGAAATCCAGTCATATCCATTTACTTTCTTTATTTAAAGATATTCTGGCAATATTTTAAAATAATAGGTCATTCAGGCTCTGATACAAACAGAATAGTCTCGTAGATGTTTTTTTTGAAAATGTAATGAACTTCAATGCTCAGCACCTTGGTACCGGTCTGTAGTAACAGGTGGTACTGCATAACAGACTAATACACGTTTCTGCAATTGATTATTATTAGATTAAATATAAAACCTTTTAATTTCTCAGGATAAGAAACTCTGCTGCATGGACTAAATTTTAAGCTCCCGCGGGCCACATTTGGCCCCCGGGCCTTGAGTTTAACACGTATGGGCTAACTCATGTTCTTGTCTAACTTGCCCAATTGCCAGAAATGACAGTGAGGAAAATGACAACCAGACCAAGGAGGAGACGAAGGTAGACCTGGAGACAAGAGAGAGCAGGAGCGACGCTGTAGTGCTGCAAGTAGAGCCACAGAGTAACGGGCCAGAATGTAGAGACGCTGCTGTGGAGCTGGATACGGAGAAACTGAATGTCATAAAGATTCCACAGTCACTGCTGAAGGGGATACAGGAGCCTCCTCCTCTGCGCTGCAAAATGCCTTGTGTTTGTGGTGGGCACTTGTCTACCTTTTATGTGGTAGCAATAGAGCAAGATTCGCCTCTGCTGCCTAGCGATGCTCAGATGTCCGACGCAGAACACGTTAAGTGTCTGCTGGCTCATGGAAAAACAATGTACGTAACAGATAAAAGCTTAGCCAAAAACTTCTTTAAAACTTCTGAAAACTTCTAGAAACTCCTTATAAAAGGTGCGTCAACTTTTGAATAACTTTAGCTTTGTGCTCGTTGTTGTTGTTCCATTTACCTTTGCCTTATAAGATGAATTTTTTACGCTCTGTTTACTTATTTTAACTGATATTGAGTTCAATATATCCATTGATTTTTTTAAAATGTATTCTTTATACTAATACTCTATTGTTTTTGCTTTTTGTTTTGAATTTGCAACATCTTTGCGACTTGTGATGTTTTTGCTTTTGTGAGCTATCCTTTGGCACACTGCTAATAATGTTTCTATTTAAGTAGCACTGCATTAAAGAGATTTTTAAAAAAAACAACCTATAGGCTACTGTTGTAAATGTGAAATTATTTTGTCATGAAATGTTGTATGTGCACCAGCTGTCGTGTTGACAGTGTCCACTGTAGTACAGATTTATTGCTGTTTACAGTAGCCACAGTGAAGCTACGTTTCCTGGTGTTTACAGTTCCGTCCGTTAATGGGAAACCAGACTTCTGCTGCTCGGCAATGTCAAAGTCATAGTTTCCCATCAAAAGGTCAGAGGTGTCTTTGCTGTATTTCCCAAAGTGTAGCCCTGCTATGTTTACAATGAATTTCTTTCTTTCCATGTTTTATTTGTTGAAAAAGGTGCATAAACACACACACAGGCATTAAATGTTGATAAGAATTTTACATTATTTTAAAAAATGTATTTACTTAATTTAGACTAATGGTTCTCAAACTATGGTGTGTGTACCCTTTGTGGTACTCGTGCCTGCCTTTGTGGCTCAAAGAGTGAATGAATTTATGTCTGCCAAATTTGAGACAAATGTACTGAAAAAGCCATTTCTAATAGATGGACATGACAACTGACAACTGTAAACTGGTCTTGCACATACATTTTGCAATGACTTTTTTGGCGTCATCTCCTGTGCCTCTTCACAGCTGAGGCTTTGGCCATTAGGAAAGAGTAAAACAATGACCAAGTAAGGAAATGCGACCGTGTGCTGACAGGCTCCAACTCAAAATCACAGAGCGCTGTAATCAACTGAACAGATCCTTTTGACAAAGCATTGAATTCATTCAAGTTTATTTTCTTGTTCTTTTTAACTCAGTTTGAGAAAAAAAAAAAAATTTATAGACATAAAAGTTTGGCAATGGAATGTGATGTTTTGTTCTGTGAACAGTGTGTTAACATTTACATCCATGTAAAATTAAATACATACATTATAATTAAGTCAGGAAAACAACTCAAATCAAGTTTTTCTTTAATGGATATAAAAAACAAAATTCTCTACCTAGCTTTTTTTATGTGCAAAGGCACAGTTATTTACAGTACTGTTTTTGGCAGGTAGTGAAGCATGTGGTAAATCAAGAATACTATCACAAATATTCATTTGAAGGAACATGAGAATATCCAAATTCTATCAGTATTTGCTGTGACTGTGCTTTGGCTCTACATTTGAAGGATCGATCTCTGTTGGATCATCGTCCCGTGAACCATTAACCACAGACAACAGACAACGACCATTTTCACATGAATGTTAAAACATGGAAGACTTTCTTCTGTAGATTTAAATCATCGGCACTGTCACCTCAGAACTGTTGGACACCACTGGGACTTAACTCGTCCGACAACTGTGGTGTTCATGGATAGACTGTAGCTGAAGCCAAAGACTGATCGTTTCAATTTCCCTTAAGGCCGTGCCTTTCTCAAAGTGGGTGGCGGGGACGCAGAATTTCAACCTGTTCTTTATTTGCTGCAAATTGGGAAAATAGAAAATTGAAAGGGGTTTGCGCCCCCACTTTGGAAACCACTGCTTTACTGCTGTTTCACACCTGCCTAAACTGTTCACTTAGTACTGTGAGTCTTAAAGTGATACAAAAAAAAGGGGGGTCAAAAGTCAGTGTGGTTACAGTGATGCTGGATCATAGTGTCGTTTTTTGCTCTTTCGTTTTGTTGCATGTGCTTAGACTCGCTCGCTTTAAGTTGTTGTACAAAATAATTACAAAAAAAAACAAACAAACAAAGAAAAAAAGAACAGATTTACAATTTAAAACCAGGTTAACGTCAAGATTCCTTACCCTGAGTATCCTGGGATTATTGGCATGGCTCTGAGGATAACTAGCACATAAACACACACATAGCCCTGCACATGCACACACATGACACACACACACACACACCAAAGCCTCAGGTACTGTTGGTCTCTGCATCTGTACAATGTTCAGTGTTTGGACTTTACACAAAGAGGTTCATTTCCAGTCAGCTCTGGTTGAAGCTTTATCTCATGTAAACACAGCAGTGCTGTAAAAAAAAAACAAAAAAAAAAACAGGGACTGCACCTTTATGTCCACTCTGTGCTCCCTTTGTGCATCTGTCTCCTCCTACTGTTCTGCAGTGTCTTCAGGCTGGACAGTTTCATGATTCTGGCTCAGACACAAAATATATCAGACATACTGGCCAACATCAACAGTGCAGGCAACTTACAGTCAACACAGCAGCATTACTCAGTTACCCAGGTTGTAGGAGGGAAGTAACAACAAGGACATCATGGAGTACAAATGTTCCTCTTACTGTAACACTGTGTTTCTATTAGCAGGGGACCAACACTCACCTTCAACGTCTGCTGTGTCTTCAGTCAGGCAGTCTGACGGCAGCGTGTACTTGTTACCAAAATTGTTCATCAGCTGCTCAAAGAACTTGCACTCCTGCTTCTCTCCTCTAGGGAAAAGGAGGTGGAGGTGAACAGAGATTCTCAGATTTCCATTCACACACACACACACACACACCTAAATCACATCTGGGTTCAAGAAAAACTCTGAATCTGGTTCTGCATCCAGATTTTCATCAAATAGTTTTTTCTAGCTTTGACCAAGGTCCTTAGAAAGTTTTAATAATATTTGTTTTAAATTGTTTTTGTTGACTTATAGTTATATGATTCACTAATTCACTTTTAGCATATGAGTAAGTTCCCTATCTTTAGGGTATTATATTTATAATTATTATTATATAACGAATTATTTTACAGCTATTTTGTGGACTCAAACTTAGTTACATTTTGTTAACACTTTAAAGGTTATAATGCAGTACCAGTAGAGTTAGATTTATTTCATGTGTGGCAGATTAACATTTTTCAGGGTCTTTTCCCAGCCTGACATATTATGAAACATTATTCAACTCAACTCACTTCCTGCTTTTCAGGAACTGTCTGAAAGTAGCCCTTAGCCTCTTGATCCTGGTCTGACACTGCTCTGGGCTGCGCATGTAGCCTCTGGTGCTCATGAGCTGGGAGATCTGAGTGAAGATGTGTTTGTTCTTGGTACAGATCTTTAGGTTGTCCTGGATCTCCTCACTGCCCCAGATGTCCAGCAGTGTTTCGGTCTCCGTGTCCCTCCAGACCAGCTTAGTACTGTCTGGTAGCCACTGAGGACTTGTGGGAGCTGACGGCAGAGAAACGACAGAAGTGGAAAAGAAGGGTCACATTTATCCTGTTTTAATTTAAATAATGATTAAAAAATTATTATATAGTATAAAATAAAATATTTAAAGTTTTCTCTGTTGTTTTTTTATTGAACCTTTTCAATAGCGTTGAATAGCGTTTGACTAAACTTGACATGGACTGACCAGTTCTTAACTATTTCAAACTAATTACTTCAAACATTAAACTTTTTTTTGCATTATATGTAATATATCTTTACATGTATTCACCCTTCAGCTACATACAGGATAACTTTAAGCTGGCACTTCTATATTTCTGACTCGATTGATATATTGTAGACTAAAACTAGTTAACTTTGGGATAAAGAGGTTAAAGTCTGGTCAGTTAATGACAACAATAATTTTAAGTTTTGGCTATTTTCACTAACTTCTGGCTAATTTTATAGCCTTTTCGGCTATTATTCAAACAATTATTTACTATTTATTGTATTTTTATAACTTTCTTTTGCACTGTTAAATATTCAGATAAAGTTGGCTATTTTTAATATAAATATACGTATATTTTAGTTAGGTGTATAACACCTCTTAGCAAACCTTTGTTGTTCTTGTAGCTCATAAAATCAAAGCTTTTTCTCACCCGTCTGTTGATTCAATTCAGTCTCAACGCAGTCATCTGGATCCTCCGCAGCAAACATGTCAGCGCAGGAGCTGTCTGCTTTTAACTCCTTCCTGAAAATTTCATCCATCTCCGTGAAGAACTTAAAGTTATTTCTAAAGGATCAAAAAAAGAAAAACATAACTTCATGTCAGATTTAATGACGTTAAAGACACAACGTGACATCGCTGGTCGACACTGACCTCTCATGTTGAAAGGCATGTTTAAGGCGCTTGACGCGAGTGTAGCATTGCTCTGAGGTCCTCACAAACCCATGGTCGCACATCTTCCCAGCGATGTAATCGAACACATGTCGGTTCTTTAGGCAGCCTCGCAGAGTCTGCTGGACACCGTCTTCTCCCCAAATTCCTAGCAGCGTGCGCGTCTCTTGGTATGACCAGGTCATCTTTCTGCCCTGGTCTGGCAGCAGGAGACTGGTAGAAGGCTCTTCATCTAAAAAAAAAAAAAACAAGCCCCCAGGCTCATTATTATTGACGTTAGAAAACCCCCCAAAAAGAACCTGCAAAATAGCTGACGATGACATTTAGCCCTACACAGGTCAGAGTCCTGGTCCATGAAAGGCTGTAATGTGGCCTCTGCATCAGTGCCGTCCACATTCTGAAACACGACGTCATCACCAAGCACGGGAGCCAGAAGATGGAAATACTGGAACATAGACGGTCGTCCTCCACCTCTGCCGGAAGATGCAGGTCAAAGATCAGCAGGGTAAATGTTTCACGATCATGAACAGAACTCAATTACTTTTTTTAGCGTTTCCTGAGGCTGTACACCACAACCATTTTTTTAACACTATTTTTTTAGAAACTAAACCAACAACTTCAGACCAATCCTAAACATTAGTTACAACATGAGAACCAAACCATTTTAAAGCAAATATAAACAGGCCGAGGGACATTTATTTTTTTAAAACATTAAACTAATCCATAGAAAATATTTATTTTAATTTACTTCCTGCAGTATCTCCTGTAAGTCTTCTTCAACCTCTGGATGCGGGAGTGGCACACCTCGGCCGTCCTCACGTATCCCATCTGTGCCATTGTCTCTGCTATTTCAGCAAATATGTGACTGTTGCGGACGCTGGTTTTCAGGCTGTGCTGCACGGCATCTGCAGCCCACAGTTCAATGAGAGCGGCCGTCTCCTGTTCCGTCCACGGTGCATTCATGTCATCTACGCCCACTGGAGGAGTTGGAAAAGTTGGAAAAACTGAATGTTGCACTAACCAGGGCAGGGCAATTACAAGAAAACAAATCTCAAATATTCAGTACATCATTAGTGGCTAACAATAACTAAACAATAAGATGGTTAGAATAGAACAAAAAATGTGTTGGGGTTTTTAGTTACCATTTAGCCTAGTACAAGGGAACAGCTTTAATCGTAAACTTTGACTAGCTTGTAGACATTTTCTTTTGGCTAATATTAGCTCATTTATCTCTTTATGTTTGCTAGCTTGCTAGCAATGTTCTGTTTTGGCTAAAACTTTTCCATCCTGTAAGCAAGCTATTTTCGCTGTACTTTCCAGTAATTGTTGTTACCATTTGTGGTCATGTTTCATGTTTAATTAATGTCTGGCTTCACTTTTAGCAGTTTTGTAAAATTATTATTCAAGCTAGCTTCTTTTAATTTTCAGCTGGGCCTTTGTTGAAATTTAGCTAGCGAGTTATCTCCTTTAGCTTTCAGCTAACCTTTTTTCCTACAGTGTTTTTCTTGAATGAAGCCATTTCCAAAATGACACTCATTTTGTTTTGCTACAAAAGTTTGACTAGCTAAATATTTTTGGCTGAATTGGAATGCACTGCAGTCCAGAGTACCACAGGGGGGTTTTGCAGTATAGAAGGTACTTTAACAGTTTAACTACATAAGTTTATATTAACACATCACAATTTTTGAATGTTTTAATTTTAATTTGCTTATAGAGGATAAAACTCTACCTGAGTCCTGCTTTGCTTCTTCATCTCTTTCATCAAACTCATCTATAGAAACTGCTTCCTGTCCCAGAACCTGCTCCAGCTGGTTGTAGAATTTATAATCCACTTTGCCTCCATTTCTAGAATGTGCGCGAAACAAAGGAGTAAGAACAATTACCATATCTGAAGTTTATCTTTAAGAGGCAGAATGATAATTTCCTCTTACTTCTTTCTGTCGTAGTATTGACGAAAGTTGTTCCTCAGGGATTTGACTTTCCAGCGACACTGCTCTGGGCTCTTGGGGAAGCCCAGGTTCTGCATCCGCTCCGAAATGTCACCATAAACATGACCATTGTGGATGAAACCCCTCAGCGCCTTCTGCACATCTTCTTCGCCCCAGATATTGATGAGAGCCACGGTTTCCTGGTCAGACCATAAACTGTTTGCTGATTTTTCCGTTGACATGCTGATGCCTCCATCTTTCACAAGACACAGAACCAAGGGACCGTCTTAGCTGGGGTTTTTTTATTACCACATTTTTTTTTAAGATTTCACATCTCAGATTTTACATCTGGCCCTGTATATACATGTAATTAAGATTCTATTAAATTATATTTCTTTTTGTAACTTAAAAAAACCCAAACATTTGAACACATTGCTTACATGTATACTCCTTCTGCAGTAGTGATGCTGATAATTTTGCTGCAGGGATTAATAGTTTCTAAAACAGAGATGATCAACTGGTGGCCCTCGGTCCAAATCTAGCCCACAGAACTGTCCAGTCTGGCCCACGACTGGATTCCATCAAAGAGAAAATATCTCTTTTTATTTAATTTTATATGAGTGTCCAGACCTCGAAGTGTCTGTCCAGAGGAATTCTGCTGACCCCTGTTCTAACGTTTTACCCATTTCACTCAGTGATTCCTCGTTGGAGTCTTCAGATATTTCAATGGAGTCTGTGATCATAGTGGAGGATGTGGACGGCTGCTTGTCCAGGATTTGTTCCAGCAGATCATAAAATTTGAAATCCACTTTGTCGTTGCCACTCGATCTAAAGGTGGAGACGAAAGATTAATAAACTCACCTGGATTTAAGCAGCTGAGAAGATATGAAAAAAAAGGAAAACAAAAAACAAATGTTCAAACACACTTTTACCTGAGGCTCTCTTGACACAGGCGGTAGCTGGTTTTGAGACGTTTGATCCTGGTGAGGCACTGTTCTGGGCTGCGGTAGAACCCGTTGGTGGCCAGTTTCTCTGATATTTGTGTGAAGAGGTGACCGTTGTGTGGATAGCGCTTCAAAGTCTGCTGGACCTAGGCAGCAGGTCACATTATTTATCAACCAAACTTTGTCTTTTTCTTTGTTTTAAAGACTGATTAGGACATAGTGATTCACCTGTTCATCCCCCCATATCTCTAAAAGGATGATGGTCTCTTTGTCAGACCACGGGACTTTCTTCTTGTCATCTTGAACTTCCATAACAGACTCTGAACACAGACAGAAAAACACAAATATTACTGACAAACTTAAACTGCTTCTTCTTGAGTTCTGATGGTGGAGCAAATAGTTAATACATCATTCCATTACCCTCAAGGCCAGTATACCTTTGCTGAATGGTCCTTTCTTACTCATTATTGCTACATAAATGTGTTAAAGCTCAATCTGCCAAAGGATATTAATAAATATTTTCCTTTATAAAAAATGTAATAATACAGAATTGAAGAGTTTTTTTTATTTAATTTTTGGATGACAGAGTGACACAAGGGTAAGATTCTTCCTTGCCTTTGCATCTGGTGTAAAAACTCTATGCTGCTGATTTTCTAGTTCTTCTGTGTACTATACTTCTGGAACAAAGCCATGTACAACTCCGCTACTCAGAGATCCAAATAAAATCTGAAAATGTCTTGTACCAGGTTAAAAGTGCATTTAATATATTGTGATAAAAAAAAATTCACACTAACAGGAAAACTAAAAAAACATGACTAAAAGGTGTTTCTTCTAAATAATATAATTTAGTGATTCTTTATATAAATAAACCTTAAATCATCATAGTCAATTTCTACCTTTGCCGCCAATGACATGGAGATGACAGTACAAACCAGTGTCTTGCTGGGAAAAAGCAGAGAAGTCATCATCATATTCTTCAGTCATCTTGTTCATCTGAGGCACTGGAGTGAAGTCTTTTACTAGAAATTGTCCCAGTTCGTTATAGAACTTGCACTCATTTTGTTCCTGTTCTCTCAAACTACAGAAAGAGAAAAGAAGACAAAAAACAAACAAGGAATCAATAGAAAAAGTTGCATTTTCTTTTTCTGTTAGCTGAGCTGCAAACTCACATACTTGTTTTGGTAGCACTGCCTAAAGTTTGTTTTCAGTCTCTTCAGTCTGGTCTGACACTGCTCTGGTGTGCGGGAGTAGCCGTGGGAGGACAACTTTTTGGATATAAGGGAAAAAATGCGAGAATTTTTGTACGATCCTCTCAGTTCCTGTTGCATCTTAGCTTCGCCCCACATGTTGATCAGGGTCATTGTTTCAAAGTCTGTCCATGGAGCACTTCTCGTGGCTGAAAAAGATGTAAACAAGTCGTAAAATGAAAAAAAATATTAACTGTGGATTAGCTGGTCAATGCACTTTTCTCATAAATAAGAAGTCCTGGTTTTTGAGTCCCAGCAGTGCCCAACAGTAATAAGGCATATTTATTGACATTCAGATCATGTAACAAAAATTATTAGCTTTCAAGTCTGCTCTAAACCCATCTGTCAGTCGCACTGCACACATTCTCATATGTCTCTGTTCTCTGCATGGAGGTGTATGCACCTTCTCCATGCAGTTTTCTGTCACTCCTGATTACTTCGACTGGTTTCTCTTAGTGCACAAAAAAATGATTCCTCTTTATGCATGTCAACATCTCAACTCTGTGCAAGACTGAACTGTCTATTTTTAAAGACTACACTGTTATTTTTCCACACCTTTTTCTGGTTGTGTAGCAGGGCTGACAAACTGCAAGTCGTTATCAGCATCGTCTTCATCCACCACCTCCTCCACATCAAAGGTGACCTCGGGAACCGCCGAAGAAACAGGAGAATGTAGGATACTCTGCAGCTTCTCATAAAACTTTCCCTCCTGCTTGGAGCCTCCTCTGGAGAAGAGTCGTATGAATGGTCAAAAGAACATTCCACCCTTTGATCCACAAATGATTGTGACGGTAATTGTGCATGTGATGTCACACTGAAGCTACCTGTTCTTCTGGCGGAATGACTTCTTCAGACGTTTGATCCTCGTCTGACACTGTTCCACTGATCTGACGTAGCCTCTCTCTGCCATCTTCTGTGCAATCTGCGTGAAAATGTGACGATTTTTGAGGCAGCCTTTCAACGCACGCTGTACAGAGTCCTTCCCCCAGACGTCCAGCAGGTGAAGCGTCTCCTCTTCAGACCAGGGAAGCTTGTCTGAGACCACAGGCAAAGGATTTTCCTGAGAGTCTAAATGTAAAATGCAGTCAAAAATAAAAATAAAAAGCAAATGATTTGATTTGATGGTGATGATTGAAGCAAATACCTGTGAATAAAAACAAAAAGTGCAAACCTGTATATTCTCCTAATATGGAGATGAGAGGAGATTCACCTGAATTCTCATCGTCTATCGAGGAATCACTGCAAAGACAGAAAACACAAGGACTCAGACTGGAATCTGTCCATTTTACTCCCAAGTGTCAGCATACAATGTCCTTGACAGCTCCACACAGAAAAAGACTGGTACTCTCCAGTCACTACTGGCTCTAGAAACACAATGTAGCAGCTTTCACACTTTCTTCCAAGAAAAGAAAGAATTACAAAAACAGGATTTAAATACGAGTGTTTCAAGGAAAGGCCCACATAGGTTGGACTGACCGTGGATGAATGAAGGCTTTTAAAGGCTGTGTGCCATGTAATGATAAAAGGTAAATGACGTTTCCAGGACGACTTACAAGAACAATAAAGCTGCTTTATCCACAGGCCTCTTGGAGGGAATCTCTGCAACTTCTTTCTGTTTCCTCTTCCTGAGAACCCTACCCATCACCCTGCAGCTCTCATTGGTTTCTAAGACGTCTTCGGTCTCATTCGGTGTTGTGAGGTCTATGGTTTCATCTGACGGATGTGCACCAACGGCACTTTGCCTCTTCTTCTCCTGAGAGCTGCTCCGGCTTCTACCTTGCAGCTGCGTCACACCCGTGTCCTTTTTGCCACTGAGGCCCTGTCTCATAGCCTCCATGCTCCTCTTGAACGAGTGCTCTAGGCTGCTCAGACTGAAGGGGCTGTTGAAAGTTGCTGCATGCTCTGGAGAGGTCGAGCCTTTGACGGGAGAGGAGCAGGAGGAGGTGCTCGTTATGGCCTTGGTCCCAGGAGGTAGAGACAGGGAGGAGAGGATACAGTTGTCCATGGGTAGCAATTGGGGATCTACCATGACGGGTGGGAAAGTTGGGTTAGAACAAAAATTACGGACAATGGAAAACATTCACAAACACGTAAGGATAATTATCTTTAAAAAGTACGATTCTGAAACGTGTTTTCTATGTCATTTCAATACAGCCGACAAATATCAGTTGACCATACCCTTCTCTTTGAGGTGACCCAGATTCCTGTGGTGTGTGAGCACTGCCTTGATATCTTCTGGTGGCAGAAAAGATTGTAAACAATCGTCCAGGAATGTTGGAGTTTCTCCAAGCACAGCTGTCAACTGGCAGACAGAATCAAGTTATAGGTCTTTGTTGCAAGCATTCATTTAAAGTGTTGCCAACATTCTTTTTGTCCTGATACCAAAAAAAGTCAACACTGCAAGGACAACTGCAGTTTAAATTTTTACCATATACGTTCAACTTCTCCATGGAACCAGGAATGCATTTTTTAGAAATGACTTTCCAAGTTTTTACGAGGACTGGGAGTGAAATTCTTCCAAACGACTATTCAATCCAAGATTTCATGGTAAGTATGAGTTGCACATATTATTTTGTTTTATATATTATATCAAGGATATATTGTGGCATAAACCTAATCTAAACCCATCAGCTACTCCGACCGCACACCTCACCTCTCTCTGTCCTTATCATGCCATGTACTGCAATATACTACTGTCAGCAAAGACAAACCTGGGTAAAATCAGGAACTGGCAGCAGTTTGTCCAGCCTCGATATAAATTCCCACGACAGAATCTCAAGTGCTTCATCAAACTTTGGTCCAAAATACACAGGGAAGATTTCCTGCAAACAGCAAAAACAAAACAAAACATTGGACTGACCTCCTTAAAGTTTAAAAGTAAAAGGTAAAAGATTGCATTCTGATGTAAACAAATACTGCAATACCAACCATGTTTGATTAAATGAGAGGCTGAAAAGCCTTGACAGCTTATGCTCATTGTAATGTTTAACCCAAAAAATTAAGTAAGCGACAGTGTTAGGTTAGTCATGTTAATTTGCCCGATGTTCATTTTTGACCTGAGCATCTGCAACAACAGAAGAAGCCCATCATGACTGCACCAGTGCTAAACAGCGTGACTGTTTGTGTCAGCAGTGGAGCAGCAGTGGTGTGCTGCTGTTGCTCTTCATCTGCCCCAAGCTTCAACGTGAAGTGAATCTAATCATGTGCTCAGCACAGCTGCTGTGAACGGTACCAGAGTCTATCATGGCAAGGCTGTCAGCTCCACTACATCTGACCACTCTCCACTAAATACACTGACCACCCAATTCACTGAGTCCTACCTGCAGGATTCCGTGAACTACACTGCTGACACGTTGTTAGCTAACTAAATAATAACAACTGGGTGTAGAGTTTTGCTTTTTAACAGTATGGGACATCTTACCTCAAAAAAATACTTCCTTTCTGAGGGATCCTCCAATATTGAATGCACCAACTCTACAAAGTTCACCTCAGACTCCTCCACCTGGTTGATGGTGACCTGATAGACACACCCACAAAAGAAACATGTGATTAGAACATCACTGACATCATCATCATTCTTGCCCTGTAGGAGATAAAAAAATCTACCACACCACTGCTATTCAGTGACAGTTTTGTTTGCAGCCACAGTTCTCTTACATGGTGATCTTTGGCAGTGCTGACTGGTGCTTTAATTCTGTCCAGGTGAGGCTGAATGGTCTGCATGTCCACTGGTTCCTCACCTTGACACATCTCCAGAACCAGCTGGTTTTTAATGCAAAAACAAACCAAACACAGCAGGAAACATGTGTAAATGCTGAGCCAAAGACAAAATAAATTTGACAAACACAAATTAACACTGTGTTTAAATTATACAAAAATCATGTAATTATAAAATGTGACAAAATATGACAGCTTTTAGTGAGTTTTGGTACGATGGTTAATAATACAGACCCTGGCTCTGAGTCCCATGATGAGCTGAGCCCTCTGACTGTAGCACATCAGCTCTGGTACCAGCTCTGTCACCATGGTGACAAATTCCTCCAGCATCCCAAAGCGATCCACGCGCCCCTGCTGCACGACCTGCCACACTGCAGCGGACAAAAGCTGCAGCGGTGGAGCCAGAAGGCGCAGGTAAGTGACAGGAATATCAACACCTGAGATGATCGGGGGGGAAATCACAATAAGTACACCTATTAAAACACATATGTCATAAAGAAATGAATACAAGAAATGGCTGATTTATATTCTTATAGATTATACAAATATCTGATATATAGACCATGCAGACCAGCATCAATGACGTGTGCATTCAGGCTTTTTTAGGGAGCATGTGTGTTCACATGAGAGTCAAATGCAAAATGCACGAACTATTGAATTTGAACCATACAGTCTGACTTGTGAAGTTGTGAGGTTAATAGTACCACATCAGATATAAAAAACCAGAAAGTTATTCTCAAAAAATCTAATTAGGTCTAAAACAAACAAACAAAAAAACAAACAAACAAAACAAACATCTCAGTCACTTCTGTCTACAAAGGATGCTAGGCACTACAGCCATGTAGCGTGAACACAACCTTGGCTGGGCCACAGCTGAATACATCAGGAAGTAGACTTAAGTGATGACAAGAGGATGCAGCTGCTGCAACATCATCTGCCATCGTCCCTAACAGGACATTCAAAGCTATTGCACCGGAGGCTGCAAATCAGATTAGATGTATTAACGAAGAAAAATATCCATTTGTAATTAATAGATGGAAAAAAACCCAGTGGATCTGAACAATAACCTCCCCTAGTGGTGAAGGTGGGCAGTAGCATGCTGCACGTTTTAATTCTGAAACCACGATGGTGGCTCAAGAGGCACTGGAGGAACACGAACCTCCGTCCATGCTCTCTGTGTTCACATCACAGATCAGGGATCAGTTCAAACCACAGCCTTGTGATTTTATCAGGATTTCTTTTTAACACACGCACCTCGTTTGCTTCCATGTTCATTTTCTCCGTTTATTTCCATTTAGTAGCTGACACGGAGGAAACAAAACCCAAACCGACGTTCTCTCTGACTGTGGCGACCAGGAGCACGGAGAATCCAGATCCTAATCATTCACCTCTGTTCATTTTTTGCGTTTAAAAAACACAGACAATTTCCGCGATCGCCGAACAAAACAAACAGACTAGCGTGGGCGTGTAAGCGTTCTTTTTTTTAGTTCTCGCGTGAAGATGGGAGACCGAACAAAGGTTTCTGGTCAGATCCGCCTCAGTCCAGATCACAGCAAAACCCTCTTTCCTGGTTGGCTGACAAAGACCGGATCAGCTTTAGTACAGCGCCAGATGGCGCTATTGGATCGCATCTGCTGTACAACGATGAATTGCCTGTGCATTCCTAGTAAATTAATTCCAGAATATGTTTTTCCGATGCTACCGTATATCAGTTTTGATATTATAATCTGGAATGGATCAATCCATCCGTAAACAAAGACATGCTATGTTGTGACGATTGTTATACTATCTGTAGATACTCCATTTTCCAAGATTAAATGTTTGTTTTACCATTTTTAAGTCCTTGATCTCTTATTTAGAATCCATCCATCCATGCATTTATTTTTCTCTGTTATGACCATACAAATATAATAAATCTTAATGTTAACTGACCTCATTAGGCCATGGTCATTTAGCCACTGCTGGACCAACACAATAGGAAACCTGAGGATTGAACCATGAGTCACGGTCTTGTCAATAACGATTTCCACACAGACGCAGATGGTGTGATCAGAATTTGGCCTATAAAGTATGGAACCGTGTCACCAAGCTTGGGTCCAGACATGCTGCCTTTTGCGGCTGGCTGACTGGCGTAGGAGAATTTATTTTGATGTCCATAATGTAACTATGGTGTGGCTAATGACTGGTTCCTGCACAGCTTTTGTGTCATTATAATTAGTAAATGTGCAGGCTAAACTTAACACATGGAATATTTTAGAACTGCAGAATAGAAACATTCAGAAGATTCCATTTCCAAACTGCTGTGACAGTAAATGGGACCTGCATTGGAATCAAATCCGGCCTTAACTGTTATTGCACTAGAATAGAAGACATGCAGGAGGGCAATCACGTATAACAGGGATGTCACAGTGGTTTCAAAATATCAATATTGCATGTAAGACAGTTTTTCAATTGGTACTTAATGAAGTACTTGTTGCACATAACTACATTTGAAAGCAGTTATTGCTTTAGTGCCTAAACACAATGAGTGTACTGTAAGCAATGAACGCAAAATGAAATATTATGGTGAAAACGTACTATAAATAAATGACTGAAATCAAAGGCAAACCTGAGACAGAAAATTATAGTTTTTGTTATTGGAGGTAACTTCTCTTTGCTAATTTTTAGCTTTTGAACAGTTTTTGTTATTGGAGGTAACTTCTCTTAGCTAATTTTTAGCTTTTGAACATACATCTTTTTGATGTGAAGGGCCTAACCCTGAGTTATCATAAATTTAATATCCCTCCCCTAATATGTCTTTTTTTTTTATCTATTTAGCTATAATTTTGGCATTTCAACTTTTGGATTATCTTTGAAGTAGCTTTTTTTAATACCTAGGAGAATGCTTAGCTTAGTTTTGGCTGTACTTTATTCACTCTGGGCTTCTACTTAGCTGTTTTGCTAACCTTAAGACATTTAATGCTTAAGCAATTTAAAAGGCTTTTCTAAGTTTCTTTACGAAGTGCTGCTACACTAAGTTGTTTTTTTTTTTTTTGGAGACATTTTATTGTTTCAATAGCTTAATTTAAAAGGCTTACGATGACCCCATACCGTTACATCACACTAAACCACACTCTTGTTGTGGTTTGTGTCCAGGGTTTTACCACAAGAGGGAGACAGACACCACGTTAATTTACAGTATAAGGGTTTGAAACATACCGATAAAGGCACACTTCCATTATCTTCCCTGATGGCATCCCTGCTAGGAAACAGATCTCAATAATTCATAACACCCATTCATAAATTTCAATGAGTTTCTAATTAGGAGGAGCCCAGAGTAATTGTCTCTGTGGTGGTTTTAACAGGACGAGACTCGTGCCGACAGATTGACAAAGACCTTATTACAGATTGATGCAAATCACCCTAATTATGAGACGAAGTCAAACTTTCAGATTTTAATGACTATCATTTTGCTTCTATTATAAAAAAAAAAGATTAAAAATGTTTCAGAGGGAGTATTAGTGAATGTGTGACAAATGTCACACATTCACTAATACTCTAATGCACTAATAAAAATGTTTTATCTAAGATTCAATAAGTCCTAAAACTATTGTTATTTTACAAGTATTTTACAAGAGTTGAACCCCCCCCCCCCGCCCCCCCCAAAAAAAAACCTGACAACTGGAAAGGTCAGGAAAAGAACTACTTCAGATTTTGATATAAAGTCCTGGTTTCCAAACTTTAAATACACTTAAGGGCTTCTGAATCCTGCAAATGTACTCAGTTTGAAGCAATAATTTTTCAAGCAATGTCACGACCCACTTGGCCTACTTTGCTAATACACCCATTAATTATAGGTAAAACTTTCGGAGGAATAATTACTTCATTTGAATAATAACTTGGCACGGATTTCAACCAGATTTTGTCACATATTTTGACATCTTACATTTAAGCAATAAAATGTTTTTAACTAAATTAAGTTTGACATTTTATTAAAAACATTGTATTACATTATTGTCTGTTTAAATTGATTTGGTGTCAAGTCATAAAAGAGCAAACAATTGACTTTATAGCGCGGTGGCCCAGTGGCCATTTCAGGGTTACCCTTTTTGTTTATTTTTAGGTTTGAATGCTTGATTATCGAAACAATTATTTTTTGAATGAACTTAAACTGAATTTGAGTCTATACTAAGTTTGTAATTTTGTAAGGACATTATTAGACATCAAAATTATTTTATTTTAATATCGGTTGCTAAATGTTAATTGTTAGTTGTTAATGCTACATGGTATTTAGCAATAAAGCTGCATGTTGTCAGTGAGTATATCTTACCTCTTTCTCCCCACCAGGTTACTTTGGATTCATCTGTGTTGTATTACTGCCACCCTCTGGATGCACTGGTAGGTTTTCCAGTCAGAATTGTCTTTCCCACTATTTTATAAAAGAAAGAAAAATAAAACATTTCAGATAAAGGGTTGGGTTGGTTTAAAATAACTGAAGTTAAATAAAAATGTTGTGTTTTTTATAATTCTATGGTGTATATATTATTATATTCCACCTTTAAATAGGTTTTTATGTATATGTGGAGAACGAGTATGGATGTACAGGGCTGCTAATTGTCTCCACTGAAACGCTGTTCATGCTAATGATTTTAGGTTGATGAAATACAGCCTCATCCAAGTGCACTGAGGTGAAATTTACATCCATAAAACAAAGGCACCTTTCATGGAAGGTAGACACTATTTACTGATGCAAGATCATTTAGCAGGACAACCCTTAAGGACGGTGACTGGCGGCTGTGCAGGGACGTCCACAGCTGTTTTGTATGTGTTTGAGAACTCATGAGCTTTGGCTTGGCAGTAGACACTGGACAGGTGGATGCTCAGCCAGCCAAAGTCCATTACCTGCTCTGGGGGCACCATGCATGAGTGTGCGTGTGTGCACATGCATGGATGGGGTAATTACTTTTTATCTCAGAGTGTCTGTAAATATATATATATATATATATATATATATATATATGGGTTTGTGTGCGGTTGGGGGTGATTAGAGACTGGTGGTGGGTGGAGGTGCTTGTCAGAAGTTATCTCCTCATCTCATCTCATCTTAGGCAGCCTGGCGGATTCCCTCGATGGCTCAACAGCCCGATGCTGCCGCGTTGCTGTCAATCGGCCCGTCAGCGCCTGCAGAAATCGATGCCAATCTCCCTTCGTTCCTATTTTTAGCCCTGGCTCAGCACCAAGGCCTTTGATAAGGATGCTGCCTCCTTTTGGCTCTCCTCTTTGCTTCTCATGAACACCTCACCATCACCCCCCCCCCCCGCCACATCCAACCCCATTCACCTCCCTGGCTGATGAGAGGTGATAAGAGACAGACGAGATGGAGCTAAAAGCACGGACCTGTCTGACTGATGAGGGCTTTCATGGTGCAGAAATGATGATGATTGTTAGCACTGGAACTAGAAGTCATAGCCATAGAGGGTATTATTAGCTAAAGAAATGATCACATTTTTAAATTGTCATTTTTTATCACTAAAGTATGACTGGTGCTGCAGCTTCAGCTGCAAATAACATAAGATTGCCATCATCAGACAATCACTGTCTACAGAAATAGATACAAAGCAGTGGGTAGGCAGATTAAGGTGATGTAATGTATGGCCTTGATTTTTTTTATTTTAACGTTAAGCTGATGTAATGTATGGCCTTGATTTTTTTATTTTAACGTTAAGTTGCATGCAGTGCAAATGTGAAGTGTGAAAAGTTGCCAGGAGTAGTGGTAGTGAAGGTGGATGTTCAAGTAGCTGTGGTCCATCATCTAAAGTCATGAACAGTACAGAGAGGAGGTGAAGGAAAGGGAGCAGGCAGTGAGGTGGATTGAGGCAAGTGTCAGGGTTGATGTGCGACAGAAGGATAGCAGCAAAAATAAAAGGAAAGATTTATATGATACCGCAGCAGTGAGACCTGCTATGATCTTCTCAATGGTTAAGATATGATGGCTTTTTCTAAAAGACAGGAGATGGAGCTGAACGTGGCAGAGGTGAAGATGATGAGACTTTTACTAGAAGGGACTGGGATGGATGGGATAAGACACAATCAGATAAATTGAGGACATTTAAGACGAAGCAGTCTGAAGGGAAAAAATTAGATGCAGAAGGTTAGGGTTGTTTGGATGTGCTGAAGAGTGATAGTGGATAAAGAATGTTGGAGATGGAGCTGCCTGGCAAAAGGAGACGTGCAAGTTGTCAGGGAAAAGCCCAAAGAAGAAGAAAAAGAAAATCGATCTATTCATCCATCCATCTGTCTGTCCGTCCATCCATCACACAGGGATTCTAACAGTGAGTATCAGTGCCTTAGAACTGACTTTGCGTGCAGCACTTCTTACAAGCGCACTTCAGAAAGAGTGCATTGCTTCTCTTTCAACAAACTCACTGAAGGGCAGAGTCAAAATGAAGACAAGGTGAACAAACAGATGAAAGATAAAGTCTCCTGCAGGGTGACTTTCGCTGAGCATGTCGGATCGAGGGAGAAGAAATACAGCAGATAATCCACGGCTGGACTACCAGATAGCTGTGTTCATTACATGCACATTAGTTAATGATCGAGCACAATTGAGTTAACCTAGTCCTAATATGGTGGCTCTGTGCTGGGACTCTGTCATATCACATTAACTCAAATAAAATGATATTTGAAGGGAACAAAGCAAATTTAAACCTGACTTTTTT